GAGACTCCAGTGGCTTCCCTTCCGTCTCACTCAGTTACAAGCCGGAGTTTGTCTTGTGGGCTGTAAGCCCTATCTTATGTGTTCTGGTCTCCCATTACCTCTCTGCCCTTATTGCTTTCTGCTCCCCTTCCTTATTCCACTCACACTGTTCTCCTTGTTGTTTCTTGAACATGCCAAGCATACACCTGCTTCAGGGCATCTGTACTTGCTCTTCCTCCTGGAACGATTTTCTCTCAGATGCTTGCTTCCTGTCTTCCATCAGGTCTCTGTTCAGGTAGGCAACCATTTGTTCATTCAGTGTTCTTTCAACTAAGGAAGCAGGTAAACATTCACTAAACACCTAATCTGTGCCAGACAGTTTTCTAGGAGCTTGGGATATATCAGTGAATCAAACAGATGAAGATCCCTGCCCTCAAGGAGTTTATAGTCCAGTGGTGGAGATCTTGAAAAAGATAATAAACGTAATAGATAAATTGTATTAAAAGGTGATATTTGCTTTGGATAAAAGAAAAAAAATTGAGCAGAGTAAGGAGAAATCAAGAGTGTAGATTGGGAGGTGTGGAGGAAGATGAGGGTGAGTTGCATTATTAAATACTAAGTAAGACGGTCAGGGTAAACTTCACTGAGGTGAGATTTGAGCAAGATTTGAAGAAGTGGGGAATGTTTGTTAGTTAAGCAGATGTCTAGGAGAAGAGTGTTTCTGGCAGAGGAAACAACTAGAGCAAAGATAGGAGTATGCCTGGGATAATCAAGTGATGGCAAGAGGGGTAGTGTGGCTAGAGTGGAGCAAGTGAGAGTAGTAGGAAATGAGGTCTCAGGGAACAGGAGATCAAATTGCATTGGCTTTACAGGCCGTTATGAGAACTTTATCTTTTCCTCTGCATGAAGTCAGGAACATTGGAGGGTTTTGAACAGAGGAACGAGATGATTTGGTTTAGGTCTTAACAGGATTACACTGGCTGCTGTGTGGAGATAGACTGTAGTAGGAGGAAAGAGTAGGAACAGGGAGACTGGTTAGAAGGATACTGTAGTAATTGGGATAAGAGATGGTAGCAGTGAAGGTGGTGAGAAGTGGTTGGATTCTGGATGTCTTTAAATTTTTTTTCTTTTATTTTAAAATTGACCTACAGTAAAATTGACTTTTTTTTTAGTCAATGTTTTATACAGTTTTATGAATTTTAAGACATGTATAGATTCATGTAACCATCACTACAGTCAGGCTATGGAACAGTCTGGATGTCTGTTGAAGGTATAGCTAACATGATTTACCAACGGACTGAATGAGAAGAGTAACCTGAGCAACTAGAAAGTTGCTGCCATCAACTGAGTTGGGGAGGGATGATCAGGAGTTCAGTTTAGGACATAAAGAATATGTCCATTTCAAGTTTACTGGCATAGATTTATTCATCTAGCCACAAAATTCATTCCCTGGAGACAATCAGTGTCATCAAACGTTGATCAGTTTTTTATCAGAGATTAGTTTATGCACATATAAAACAAAACAACAAAACAAAATCCGTTGCCGTAAGGTGATTCTGACTCATGACAACCCCATGTGTGTTAGAGTACAACTTGTACTCCACAGGATTTTTTAATGGCTGTAATTGTACAGAAGTAAATCATTAGGACTTTCTTCCATTGTGCTGCTAGGTAGATTTGAACTGCCAACCTTTCAGTTAGCATCCAAGTGCAAACCATTTGTGCCACCCAGGGACCTCAATGCACGTATGTTGTTGTTAGGTGCCATCGAGTTGGTTCCGACTCATAGCGACCGTATGTACAACAGGACAAAACACTATCCAGTCCTGAGCCATCCTGAC